GGAGGGGTGGCGAAGGAGAGGAAGACCTTTGGTGAGATGGATCGATTCTGTGACTGGAGCGGTGGGAATAAGTGCGTTTGAGATGGCTAGGTTGGCACAGGATAGAACAGCATTTAGAGCTCTTGTACATAGGGTCACTATGAGTCGCAAGTGACTCGATGGCACATAACAACAACAAGAGAATAAAGAATTCTGCCTTAGTGGTAATAAAGTTCCATGTTCATCCCATTGTGGATTTCATTTGTATTTAATAAGGCCTTTCCTCCCAGATGGCCATTGTAAACCACCTTGATTATTCTGGCTGCAGCTCGAGTTTGCTCAAAATTAGTGACACCACAACCTCCAAACTTAAATGCTAAGCCTGACAACAATCGTACCTTTCATTTTTTCTCCATAGATTTCCTTTTATTGAATTTGTTACTGTTACAGAATACTTGCATTGTCAAAACCACGCCTGAGAATTCAAAGAAAGAAATGGTACAATGGACAGCTTCATCTACCCATCATACAGTATTATAAAACTTGATTCATGTGCATTTTGATAATTTCACAATCTTTAAAAAGTTTTATCAAGAGTTGGGATTTGAAATCTGCTGCAAGTCTTTAATTCCTAGTATACTATACCATTAAATAACACTTCCACACATTCATCTCAGTTCATTCCTTCGTTATGTAACTCCCAGGAAGATTCTGCTGGAAGAGATGCATTCTTTCCAGGGAAAATTTGTGGCTCAATGACCAAGAGATTACTAGTTAAGGTTTTTGGTTCCCCAACAAAGTATTCCGTTTAACCAAGAATCCCTTGTTTCTCTCAACCAACCTCCCCTTGGCTCAGCTACTCACCTCAACACCTCAGAAAGCAGGTAGCCTGTCTGCTACCTCAAGTAATGGCAACACTATTGTCCAGAAATAGTTGGCGGGTCCTTTCAGGAGATTCTATAGATCTCCTCACTGTTCAATTCCTGCATTGACACTTTTTATCTAGACTGAACTATTTAAAATTGCTCCCCGATCAGGATAGCTGTGCTCACCCACTTGCTTCACTCTTGCCAGTAGCAAGTCTGCAACTCCTACATTTGGCAAAGGGATTTATCACAGAGAAACTCAGACTCTCCCCTTGAAAGTGGTACCATATCACTGTGAAATCTTTCTATTGAACCAAAAAGACAAAACCCTGGGTAGCTTCTTCCAATCCTTTTTAAGGGCTTTAAAAAAATCGAATCAAAATAGTTGAAGGTGTAGTAATCAAAACCAGAAGTGCTACATTACCTGTCTTTTGTCCCTGACCCCCTAAATGAACAACAAAGACACACTCAAAAGGCTGGTAACAGCACTTAGCTGGGACAAGTGCTGTATCTACAGACTGTCAAGAACTTTAGAGAGATGGGGACAAGTGTGGGATCCGGGTTCCTTGTAAAAAAGATCCCACGAGATTCATGAAATGAAAATGGTGAGGTGAGGCTTTGCTCAACAGTTAACTGAAAGCTTCAGCCTGCCATTTCCCACACAACTGAGACCCAACTAAGACTTTAACAGCACCTGAAGTAGGAACCCCTCACCCCCAACCACCATCCTTTTAATCAAAGGCTTTTTGGTTCCAGTCTAAGGATTGGCAAATTCATGAAACACTTCAAAATCCTAATGCATATTTTAGGTTGCTTAACCAACCAAACAATATGCTCTGTCAAAAAACATACCGAGTCAAAGCAAAGCA